CCCGACTTCTTCTTCAACATCACCAACTGCGGCGAGAAGGACGCCCTGAAGGCCAAATTCAAGCGCATCTGTAAGTCCACCTCCACCGTGTGACTCTCTTCGCGGCTCGTGATGTGCTCACTGTTCCCTGTGGGCCGGCCCTCACCCCCAGCCGCGCTCGACGACGTGCTCATTGCACGGGCTGCGCGGCGCGAGCGCATTAGAATTGCGACTTGTGATTTGTTGCGGGCGTCGAGATGGGAATGCGGCGGTCGCGATGTTCCTGAAATTGGGTCGATTCCGGCCCCTTACGACGGCAGCTGACGCTTGGCCATGAATGTCGATGCAGGTGACAAGTCGGGGATCCGCAAGCGCCACATGTTCCTCACGGAGGAGGTGCTCAAGGCTAACCCCGGCATCTGCACGTACATGGAGCCCTCCCTGAACGTCCGCCACGACATCGTCGTCGTCCAGGTCCCCAAGCTCGCCGCGGAGGCAGCCCAGAGGGCCATCAAGGAGTGGGGCGGCCGCAAGTCTGACATCACCCACATCGTGTTCGCCACCACCAGCGGCGTGAACATGCCCGGAGCCGACCACGCCCTGGCCAAGCTGCTGGGCCTGAAGCCCACGGTGAAGCGGGTCATGATGTACCAGACCGGGTGCTTTGGCGGTGCTTCCGTGCTCAGGGTGGCCAAGGATCTGGCGGAGAACAACAAGGGCGCCAGGGTGTTGGCGGTGGCCAGCGAGGTCACGGCCGTCACATACCGCGCACCCAGCGAGAACCACTTGGACGGCTTGGTGGGCTCGGCCCTGTTCGGCGATGGCGCCGGAGTGTACGTGGTGGGATCCGATCCCAAGCCGGAGGTGGAGAAAGCACTGTTCGAGGTGCACTGGGCGGGCGAGACGATCTTGCCAGAGAGTGATGGAGCCATTGATGGGCATCTGACGGAGGCGGGGCTCATCTTCCACCTCATGAAGGACGTGCCAGGGCTGATCTCCAAGAACATCGAGAAGTTCTTGAACGAGGCCAGGAAGTGCGTCGGTTCGCCCGATTGGAACGAGATGTTCTGGGCGGTGCACCCGGGAGGCCCGGCCATTCTGGACCAGGTGGAGGCGAAGCTGAAGCTGACCAAGGACAAGATGCAGGGGAGCAGGGACATACTGTCGGAGTACGGCAACATGTCGTCGGCGTCGGTGTTGTTCGTGCTGGATCAGATTCGCCAGAGGTCGGTCAAGATGGGGGCGTCGACGCTGGGAGAGGGCAGCGAGTTTGGCTTCTTCATTGGATTCGGTCCGGGGCTCACCCTGGAAGTGCTGGTCCTCCGGGCCGCGGCCACCGTTTGAGTTGTAGCAACGGGCACGGGCAAATCAATATCGTCTCCCTGGTTTTCCTTTTGCGCGCTGGAGTGGAGATCGTATGAGTGAGCGAATTATGATGATTCATGGGTCAGAAAGCATCCAGGTTGTGGCACCAGAGGGTTTTACATTCAGGTCTGCAGCAAATGGACTTTCGATGAAATTTGGTCAGTTGGATCAGCGCGCTACCGCCTCCGTCCACCAGGGGTTCTGCAGCGGCGACGGCGACAGAGGAGGTCGCATGGACAGTTGCAAGTTGCTGAGACGTTGGAGCGGGCACAAATGTCCAAGGCAGGGATCATGTTGGAGGGGTGAAAGGACTTGAAGTGTTCTGAGTTGCCTTTCGAAGGAGGGCAGGAATTATTTACGTAATCTGCAGCCATGCTTAGTCACATGGTTTGAGAAATTGTAGGAACTGTGCGATTCTTGTTGATATGAGGCACAATTTATGAGCATTTTGCAAGTTGAATGTGTGGCGACATTTTGCCCCACCCGAAGTGTGGTTTTAGTTAAAAAGCATTTGATGCAGAGATCACTTTATTTGGTTCCTCAAAGAACAAAAATAAACAAATTGGTAACTTGCAAAAGTAACTAGTTCACTTTTTGAGAACTTGTTGGTTTGGGTTGCACTGTGTGTAGTATTTGCTTCAAAGCAATACTCCATAATTGATTATTTTGGAGAATTCCAAACCAAATGCAATCTTGTTCAAATTCAAAAAGTTGAAGTTGCATTGGTTTTATAACACCACCACAATACTCACTAGTATAACAAATTTGATAGATATGTAGTTTGAACTAGATAAATAAAAATAGTTGAGAAGTTTCATAAGACAAAAAGAATGAACAAACAAAGAAAAAAGTAGGAGGCAAAATAGTTCAAGATCAACAATCAAAGAAGAAAGAATTTAAACAATATCCAAGCATTAAGGTTAATGAGTGTTTGGCCTAATACATGGTATACTTTGGAATCGATATGCTTCTACAAGCATAAAAGATTCCATCAAGATATGATGGATTAGTGATCAACACATTGAAGCTATTTGATGATACAAGAGGACTTTATATTATTTGTTACTTGAGCTTCAAGGACTAAAAGTAAGTATGAGATAAAAAAAACTAAGAATTTGTGACCAACAACAAACATTCATCTTATAAATGAGTTTGTTTATTTAAAAAAAATTGGAATCTCATGGCATCTAGGCAAGTACCACTCTTCTCAAAGGTTCTAATGTCTAGTACCACTTTACTTATTTTGCAATATTTTTGACCGAGTATTGTGATATTTCTACAATTCTTAAATATGATATTTTTTTTGGCTCATATTTGAGTTGTACCTTTGTATTTTGTGGTTGAACTATTAGTATTATTCTTGTATTTGTGTTTATTGGTATACATGATTTAATTGGCCTTGTATATATTGATCGCTTTGGAATATAATATTTAATTTCCTAAGGCATCTCACATTCTATTTCTAATATGTTTATGACCAAAAGAGGTGTTTGCCTTAGTTTTGCAAAAAAATAAAAAAATAAAAAAATTGAGTGTTGCAAAGTAGTTCTTTACAATAATACATATGATGTATTGCTATAGCCAGGTCTTAATGCATGCAATGATTTTTTTTTCATGTATGTACAATGCATAGGTATAAACATCAAAATTGGCCAATGTATTGTCTTTATACAAAACAAACAATTGGCCATATTTCTAGCCAAGGCATAGCATTCTTTGAGTTGTAGATGTTTGAATTAATAATCCTACATTACATTCTTTGCAACCATCATATTTTTGATTTATTTTCCAAAATGTTGTTATGGTCTTTATCTAGAGCATTTGATTTATTACATGCTTCATAAGTTTTTTCTTATACCTATCCATTAGTGTCATGTTTTTGCATTGAAAGAAGTCTTGGATTTCTTGTAATTCACAATTAAAATTCTGAGTTGCTATCCAAGACCTACAATTTATCTTAGTGATTTATCACTTTGTTGTAAGAAATATGTAGTGAATGTGTATCTTTGCAAGGTTGTTGATAATGAGATGTTGTCACACAAATGTTGGTGTCTTGTGGTGCATTGAGAATGGACCACCATTTTCTTTTCTTAGGATTGATTATGAGCTTGGACAATTTGGTTGGACCTTGCTTTGTCAATAAGAGTTAACTTTCTCTACCTACAAATCCATCTATTCTTTGAACTACGTCTTTGATTTTGACTTGTAAATCTTAAATTACAAACTTGATTGATTTTCGTGCTATGCATAGTCTTATATTTGCTACTTGTAAGTAATCACTTGAGCTTATGCTATGTTTTCATAGCCTCTATGTTATTTTTATTTTTATTTATTTATTTTTTTAATAGTGTGACTTGGAATTTATCACATAGTGCTTGCATCTCTTATTTTGCATTGATACATTTGTATGTGAGTGTCACAAACTTGTCTTTGTACCATAGTATACTTGATGGCATTCTTGACATTAGAAACACTTGTTGTCAAACTTATGATGTGTATCATCTAGGTCATTATTGGTTATGGAGATAAAAGGTGCATTTTGAAGCTCATGTAGTTTCTTTTGTGCTTTATTGAGTTGGACCTATAATATTGAGGTAGGTCCCAAATATTCTTCAATCTTGGCTTCTATAACTTCTTTATTACTTTGTAAATCCTCACTTTGTATTGCACCTAAGAAAATCAATTTTTAGATGGCATGTCCAAGGATGTTATGTATTAAACAAGTATTATAGACTATTGTCTTCAAATTTGCTTCTTGAGGACTTACTTGAAATCACGTTAAAATTATTGATTGAAATTGTGTTGACATTGATATTTGCATGTGATATCTTTTGCTTGAGTTTGTTATTGTGTTCTTTATGTTGCTAATTGAGTTAGGCATTGTTTTCATGTCAATTTTTGGATTATTTCATTATAAGCCGAGGTTGAAAATGCTTGTAAAGGACATGAATATCACGGACATACAATCGAAAAAGAGTCCAAATTCTTTTAAGAAAATTCTAGAAGGTTGTAAAAGTTCTTAGAAGGTTCTAGGAGGCTTTAGATGATTTAGAAAGATACAAAAGAATGATCTTAGGCTTGCTTTGTTCCTATGGAAATTTCTCAAGAAGTTTACTAGAACCTAGTACAAATAGGAGTCGAGGCTGAGAGGATCTTTTGTCTTGATAATAGACTTCTTGTGGTCTTGTCAGGACCCTCTTGTGTTATATCTAGTTATTGTTCTAATGTCAAGCTAATTCTATTTCATGATCTTGAATCCTTGTCTTGTATATGGTCCCTAGTAGTTTGTCGAGACTGCCATAAAAAAATTTTAGAAGCTTGGTCTTTCTTGATAGAGAGTGGATTATTCGTCTTCCTGGAAGTTGTATAGCATTTTAGTGGTTGCGGATTACGCTCCCCTAGACTTATATTGTTCTTTTCTAAATATTTTTTTTTATTTTTTTTTATTTTTTTTTATACCATAGATTAGTTTTTTTTTTGAATGTATATATTTTTTTGATTTTCTATTGCAAAAGGTGGAAAAGTCAATATAATAGACTCTTAAGAGATAAAATTAGATTATTTTATTAATGCTCTTAAAGCATTGAGGATTAAGACAGAGACTTTATCAAAGGAAAAAATAGAATTGTATATGACCATAGATAATGGTTAAAGAGCCAGAGTGCCTCAACCACTACATCAAATGGCAATAGAGAATCTAAAGTCTCAAACCGCTATGCTTGCTTCAACAATCATGGGAGGTGCATCCACTCATGGCAATAATCTGACAATAATAATAGCAAAAGAACTTAAGATCAGCCTTCCAAAAAAGTGTAATGGGACTTGCTCAAAATTTCAAGGCTTTGTAAACCACATACGACTCATCACCTTGCTTCACCTTCAACGATATTCCACTGAAGCATCTTGTGTTGATTTGGTTGGATTCTTGTTGTCAATTCAAGCTTGATCTTGGTTTGCTCTAGTATTTGAGAAGAATTTCTTTATATTCCATAATTTTGAAGCATTTTTGGCAAGATTTGTAGAAGCATTTGGTGAATATGATAAAGTTCAATCTTCAAGAATTGAACTTCAAAGCCTTCAACAAGGAATGCATTTTGCATCAATCTATGCCTCAAATTTTTGACAATTAACATGTGATATAAATTAGAGAGAAGATTCATTGATGAGCCAATTTCATTGGAGATTAAGAGACAATGTCAAGGACTTATTGTTATCTATGCTAGATCCACAAACACTCAATGAAGCTATTAGTCAAGTTGTGAAGTGTAATAATTGTTTATTTCAATGATAATAAGATAAACATTCTTTAATTATGCCACATATATACATCAATTAATTTTCAACTTTTCACTGTTCAATTCTAATGAGTATTTGGAAGCAAAAGATTTATAAATTGATGCAATTTGCTTCAAACGTCTTTTTGGGCAAGAAAAAAAGTATGAAAGGGAACTTGGCCTATGCTTATATTATAAAAAATCTAACTACAATGTTAATAATTGTTCAAAGAAATGCCAGCATACATATTGAATGAGGAATGCAGCCACATCATCAAAAGCTTTGAGGATCGTAGAAGGCATCTAAGTATAGTAGAGATTGTGCGACTGGATTTTTCACTATCACAAACCAAAAAAGGTCATGTACTTTCTACCTACCCTTCTCATTATTTTATTATATCTATATAGCTAGGAGTTACAAAACTAGAAGGTAATGCATTACTTGAATCGAGAGCCTTTGCATCTTTTATTGACAAAGAATTTTCTACATTATACAAAATCTGTATAATTAAAAAATCCAAAGCCGTGCATGTAGAAGTAATAGATGGTCGACCTTTATCCTCTGGAGATATCACTCATAAAATAATTCTATTAGAAATAACCTTTGACAACTATAGCAGCCAAGTAGTATTCAACGTCATTAGATCACTATCAAGTCTAGTTATTTTAGGACTCTCATGGCTTGAAAAATATAATCCATAGATAGATTAGATATATCAAAAGTTCAAAATTTCATCTAGTAGATCATAGGACCTCCAGATCTATGAAAAAACTTCTAATATCTAACGAGCCAAAACTTAAATAATATTTATTAATTAGAGCTAGAGCATTTATGAAGGCGGCTAAATAGGGCACTTCGTTTGCTTTCTACGCAAATCCACAATCAAAACCTATGGTTACTAAGACAAAAATTCCAAAGGCATATAAGGATTTTGCAGATATATTTGAAAAGAAAAATATGGACATCATGTCAAATCATCTTCCTTACAATTGTACAATTGACCTTCAAGAAGGTACTCAACTACCATTTGGACTCATATATAAATTATCTCAGAATGAGTTTGTAACTTTAAAGATGTACATTGAAGAAAATCTGACTGAAAATTTTATTCAGTATTCCAAGTCACCAGGTGGTACTCTAATTTTATTTGTGAAGAAAAAAGATGAATCTTTACAAATGTGTGTCAATAATTGCAATCTTAATAAAATCACGATAAAGAATCAAGTTCCATTGCCATTGATATTCAAACTTCTTGATCAATTTAGCCAAGCAAAGATCTTTACAAAGATTGATCTATAAGGTGCATATAACTTGGTATGCATTAAG